CTGAGGGGAGGCCCAGGACTAATTCAGATAATTGTCAATGGTGTTAGATATGAGCGGGAATCGAACTCGGGTTGCTGTGTTCGTAGTGCAGTGCGCTAACCATAACAGTACCACTCCCCACTCGCGCACAAACACACCCGTTAAGTACAGTATTCAGTATTTATACCCCTATTTGTCTATTAATGTTTTTGTACAGGGACTTAACGTATTTTAATTGTTTTTAGTTTATTTCGCATAAAGTACAGTACTTATTTCATTTCTAATGTTGTCTATTTTTGGTTGCTGTGTACCTAACCCCCATTATTTAGGTGAGGCTTCGGTATTGAATATCGTAGTTGGCTTTCACGGACTTTCCAAGAACGTAACCCCCTCAATATTCAAGGGTCTCTTGTAGAAATGTCTATCCTGCAACATGCATGTATAACCTATGGCTCGCTGGCTGTATCCGCAACACAACTTCATTTGCAATGGCCACCCGACCACATGAGGCTTACCAATTTGAAACAATCCGCAAAGATCTTGGCCATTCCAATCAGACACGACAGGGGGATATTTTTGACCTGGCAACCTTAAATGTATAATTTTAGTACACTCGGTCACATCTCTCACTGCACGAGGCTCTTGCAGTTACAGAAGTGATTAAGGCAGGGGTGTCCAAAGTTTTTTTAGTGAGGGCCAAATACAGAAAAATAAACAAAAGGCCGGGCCACACACTAGAGGTGACGTATTGACACATGAATACTGTGTGTATTTCTCACTCACCTATAATGTGAAGAACATTGCACTCAGTGGGAGCAGTGATGCTGTCCTTTGGATTGAAGGATGGCTGACATGTCAGGAGAAAGTTTGGTGGTTGAGACACGAAGGACTTCACAGAGATGGCTATCAGCCATTCTGGTTCTCAGTCTGCTTTTGTTCTGATTTAACAGAGAAAATGTTTGTTCACATATGTATGTTGAGCCGAACAGGCTCATCATTCTTTTTGCGTGGCGTCTCATCAGAGGAAACTTGGCATTATCCAAACTCTGATAGAAGTCAGGGAGGGAGAGAAGCTGATGTTGACTCTTCAGAGAATCATCACATTGCATTTCAATCAGTTCTAACTGCAGACTCTCTTCCACTTCTTCTGCATCCACCAGGAAGGGGGTCGAGAACAGCTTGATTTGTTTTTCAATGACAGCAAAATCTTGGAAATGCTGGTTGAATTCTGTCACGAGAGATACAATCACAGACACATATTTCTCCTTTTTAGCAGAAAGGTTGGCCTTTGGAAAAGCAGACTTGATTTCAGACAGCGCAGGGAAGTGTGCAGCATTAAAGCTTCGTAGTTGTGACTCAAACAGGCGGAGCTTTACACAGGCTTTCATGTGCGCATACAGGTGTGGCACCAGCTGTTCTTTGCCTTGTAGGTTCTTGTTCAGTGTATTCAGATGAGTAAGATCAACTAAAAATGCCAGGTCTGCCAGCCACAGAGGGTCACTCAGTTCATGAAGAGGTCGGCCCTTCTCTTTCAAAAACTGGTCGATTTCTGATCTCAGCGAATAAAACCACTGCAGCACAGAGCCGCGGCTGAGCCAGCGCACATCAGAGTGGTAGAGTACATCCCCTTATTCAGCATCCACATCAGATAGGAAAGCTTGAAATTTTCTGTGGTACAGTCCTCTAGCTCGAATTATGGTGACAGTTTTTACAACAGTGTTCATCATATCGCCCAGCTGGACAGTCTTGGCACAGTGCTTCTTGGTGGATTATACAGTGCATCCCAACAGCCTCACCTCTGCTCTCTTTTACCTTGGCGCACACCATCGATGCCATTCCTTTGCGCTCGCCCGTCATGGCCGGAGCTCCATCCGTTGTTACTCTGCAGAGCTTGTCCCATTTAAGCCCCATCTTTTCAACTGCCTCTAACACAGCTTCAAAAATATCTCTACCCGTCGTTGTGCCTTTTAGGCTCATAATATCAAGCAGTTCCTCTGTACAGCAAAAATTATCTACTCCCCACAAATTTTTTTACAGTTGCGCGGTGTCTGTGGCATCTGTGCTCTCGTCGCATGCTATCGAGTAAAAATCAAAAGCACAAGCTGTCTCTCAGCTGAAGTTTCAAGTTAGCTGACAAGTCCTCGATTCTCCGCACCACTGTATTTCTGGATAAGCTCACGCTGTTGAAATCCTGCACTTTTTCCGGGCACATTATTTCTCTGACTTTGATGAGGCACTGCTTTATGAAATCACCGTCTGAGAACGGTTTGCCGTGCTGGGCAATAAGTTTAGTAACTTCATAGCTTGCTGTTGTGGCGTTTTCCTGTATTTTGTGAGCACGAAAAAAAATAGTTGTTGAGCTTGCAGGCTAGCCGTCATTTGCTTGACTTTCTGTGTTCGTTCGGCACCGGTGTACGATGTGTAGCTCTGATGTTTGGTCTCATAGTGCCGACGGACATTATACTTTCATCACAGCAACATCTTCATTGCAAATCAAACAGACACACTTCCGTTGATTTCTTTGAAAAAATATTCATTTTCCCACCGTGTTTGAAATCTTCTACACTCACTTGCTATTTTGCGTTTCTTCGGTGCTGCCATTTCTGGTGACTCGCGGTAAAAGTTTTTCTTTGCTTAATTTTGTTTAGTGGAGAAGCACGGTTTTCCGTGGCTGGCTCCATCTAGTGTTGAAACTAAGAAGTGCAACAGAGTTGAGCTCAAGCTTCTTGTGCGGGCCATATTCAATTATATTTTCAGAATTTGCTGCGGGCCAATAAAAACTGGACCGCGGGCCGCAGTTGGCCCGCGGGCCGTAGTTTGGACACCCCTGGACTAAGGTGTCTTAATACGTGTCTCGCGAAAGGTATTTGAAAGTTCAATTCAGCCCTCGATAAGGAAAAGATATCTCCAACCATGGTTTAAATAAATAACTACGCCATACTAGAATCGGTTTACAGGCTTCTCTCCCACTCTGTGCGTCTCTCCCTAAACCGTGCAGTACGCGGGGATGAGGGCGTGGACAGGATGTGCATCACCAAGGAGGATGGCCACGGCAGTGCTGACGATACTGAAAGAGATGAAGCCTTGCTACTGAGGCCTCCTCCGCCCCTCTCAAGGTCTCCACTACCCATGACTACACTGCCTGGGCCGTCGTCCTCTCTGCCACCGCTTCCACAGCCGCCCCTGATGCGGCCGCCCCTGTCAGGCCAGGTGGCCAGCTCCCGATGGCACAGCAGCAGCAGGCGGAGGAGAGAGAGGTGACGAGAGGGGGTGGCCACCTCCCGCCAGAGAGGCTGGCGTCACCACTGTTGCTGCCACCGCCGCTCGGAGCGCTGGGCGTTGTGATCCGCAAGCCCTTCGTGTGAGGGCTTCACGCACTCGAGTGGGCTGTTGCGCCACAAGCGCATCCACACCGAGAAGCTTTACAAGTGCGACGAGTGTGGAAAGGAGTTCCTGCTGGCATACACGCTCAAGAGGCATCGGCGTGTGCACGTGACAGTGGTAGATGGGGGAGAAGGGGGGAATGGGATGGGGTGGCATTGGGTTAGATGTGAAAAGCCTTGATTATGATGGACTGTTTTCATTTTGCTGTAGGCATAGGAGGGGATGTGAGAGAGAAGTTGAGTAAAAGGACACCGCGGCCACCCTTCACCCAAAATAGCACGGCCCACACGCGATGCATCCCGACACAGCCCGACGATCCGTGACCCCAAACCCGATGCACGAGGTGGGTGGTTTGGCTGTGTGTGGGGTGCACTGTGACTTGCCTGTGGGCCCCAATGAGAGGCGGAGGGTCGGTTGTAGAACTGCGGCGTCATAGGAGGTCTTGGTCATGGAGCGCGGCAGCCGATGGAGACATGTCCCGGCAGGCCGCATTTAAAGCACACCACCGGCCCAACCCTCTGGCGAAGAGAAGGATCCCTAGGACGTCCACGGTCGTCGTGTAGACTCGTCTCGGTCCTCCTTCCCCTACCCCCGGAGAAGGAAGCGTAGGCTCCTTGAGATGCTCCGTCTTCCCCGACGGCTAGGACTCCAGCAGCCACGTCGGAGCATTGCTGAATGCTGAAGTGTGCCTCCAGGCACCGCGCGATCCTGAGCGAGGAGAGGACGTCATCGTCGGTCGCAAGTTGTGGGACCTGTAGTTCTTGGGCAAGCTGAAGCATCTTCTCCAGGACCAGCGAGTCCTTGCCGACCTGGTCCATTACGGGGTAGGCTGACTTCGCCAGTGCCAGAAGCGCGCTGCGGAAGGCAAGTGGCATCTCGGCCTCCCCAAGCCTCCGCGTGGCGAACTTGTGGCACTTGTGGGACTGAGGAGCGTAGATGAGCGCCATATGGGCCAGGGCTTGTGCCAGGAATAGCGTCAAAGGCCGCCAGAACGTCGTAGTCCAACGCCGTCGGTAGCACACGTAGCGCCTCCTCCTCAGTCCAATTAGCTAACTTAAAAGTGGCAGTAAAACGGTGTCGAAAAGCTTCCCAATCGCCACCAGTAGCTGTGAATTATTTGACGAAGGGCAGCCTCTTCTTGAGTGCAAGATCTGTGTTCAGTGCCGTCGGCGGGTCTTGCAAATTGGCGGGAGCCGTTTCCCGCCCGCTGTTCAAAATAGCAGCCGCTTGCGCGGCTTGCGTCCTTCCGGTTTCCCACGCGCTGGAAGTGGCTGCGGTTGAGGTCCCGGGATGCTGCACGGGCGTCCCCTCGTCGTCCTCCCTCTGCATTAGGGCGGCCAAAGCAGTGACGGCGGCCAGGAGGTCTCCCATAACTTCTTTCTTTGTCTGGCGATCACTGCTTGGAAGCGGCGGCTTCCGCCGCTTCCAAGCAGTCGCTGATGTATCAACCAGCTGCTCCATTTCTGGGTCTTGAGCAGCCCGGGTTGCTGGTGGTGGAGTACAGTCGTCGTGGTTATCCTCGTCCGAAGACGACCATGTTTCCTCCTTGTTAACATTAGTAGCCTACGCTCTCACCAACTATTGTAACTCCTGACACCAGTTGTAGTGCTTCAATAAAGACATACACACTACGTGAGTTGAGGCAAGTCTTTTATTAACACTTCCCTTACGGGACTGGTTCTGTAACTGGTGTAAACGTAACTACCCCTATGTAACACTTTATAACACTATGTAACCCCTTTACACACGAGGCTATTGAAGATCCCAACCCGACGACATGACCCGACCCACCGAGTGTTACCCACAATGATGACCTTTTACCGTATCCACGTTGCCCTTTTATCCCCCTAGCGGGGCCTCCCGCTCCCTTAATTACCCGAATGACGGGATGTACCGGCATTACACAATTGTCAAACTTTTGCTTGCTTTTCAACATTCCGGGTTGTCTCATAGGCAAAAAAATTTGCCTATGAGACAACTTGATTTGGTTGGCTGTTGGGTGGTGGATGGTATAGCTACAAATTTGATTATACTTACATGATCTACAGTAACTCAAAAGTAACTAATTATGAGATTACCATGTTTACATTTGTATATGGAAGCTACATTTTCCTTTTTGTGTAGCTTAATTTTCGGTGTTACCTTGGTTAGTTTCCGTCTGTATTTTATTATCAAGAAAATGTAACTTAATTAATAACGCACTTGCTAGAAAGTTCTGCGTTCACAATCGCAAGGTTGTAGGCTAAAATTCCAGTCAGGATCAACTCTTGTCTCATCACCATAACCATCAGCACCATCATCACCTCTCCAAGACCGTAAAATCACCATCTTCATTGTCACCATCATTATTCTCACCTCTCAAATATCAGTATAATCAGAAGCACTTAATCAGTCTGCACCACTGGGCACAGGTGAAGGCAACATCAGATTCGGTGTTAAGGAGAGATGGGACTGACTGTAACTTGGAACTTTTCAGTATGTTATATCGTGGATGCTTTAAAATGGACGGAGCCTGGCCAAAGCAATCTGTAAAGGTTTGACTGGACCTCACCTGAACAATGCGCGACTTTTACCACTCTGTGGGAAGTCATCTGTGGATCTTATTTCGCGCAAAGCTAGAGTCTTACAGAAGAAACATGTAATTTCAACACTGCCTCTGAACCATGAATGAAGACAAGCAATGCCTATCGGTCAAACGAGCCACGAAATCCGACTACTGTCATGTTGTGAAAAAAACATACCAAAGAAATCCAGTTATCAGCTGTTATCTGGAAGTTACATATCTAGACTATATACTCCAGTCTGTCTGTCTTACATAACTTTCAACCTTTGTGAATGAAAAAATTGAATTGAAAATCAGTGATGCGACTTCCAGGCTTTGACATGCCTCTAGTGATATCACTGTGGCATAACTGCCACACCTTTGAATACGTGCATGTCGCAACGCGCATTGCATTGTGGAAGCTGGCTCTATTGAACCAATGTAAGTTGGTATATGCACACGCCAGTAAACTTCAAACCAGCAATAGCGGCGCCCGACAAAATGTCAGGCGTTGAATTCACAGCTTTTTACACATGAGGGCATGTCCTTTAGATCACTCCATCACCGGGGGTCGATGTTATTTTGTCAACAGCATAACCTAGCAACCAAGCACATTTCATTTTTTTTACGTCATCATTAATCGCACGATCTCTGTTCAATAGGTCCATCGTCCTTGTGCTTCTTCTTCTTCTGTCATGAATTCCTGCAGACGAGCAGACTTATTGTAGGGGAGCAGCAAGTTGTCAAAGGTTCATGTCATAATTCTTTAGGCAATCCAGGGCCTCTGGGGTGAGGTTGTGGATGGCTTCTATACCTCCTCCATTTTTAGGGTAATTTGTTTTCTCTGGAGAATGTGACACCAATGGCATCTGCTTTGACTCCTGGGTTTGGGAGGCTGTTGATTTTGCAGTACCAAGAGTGCGGAGCAGGTTCCAGGCCTTGCAAATGGAATCTGTGAAGTTGAGGCCCTCTGCTGTACCACACCGCTGTTGGCGTCTAGCCTCATTTAAAAAGTCAAGCAGAGTTTGATCAATGACGGTCATTGTTCTGCTCGTATTGCTTTAAATTTTTAACTTTCTTTAGTGCAACATGGAATGTAACACTTCCGGTAACCTCGTGGGATGTGTTGTTTTGCTGCGGTCTTGTATAGTTTACTGGTAGTGCTGATGATGGCCATATATTCTTTCAGGTCAGCTCTCCAGAAATTCCATTTGGGCTTCCAGACAGCGGAATAACGGAAACCTCTATGCCGATTGCTGGCTCATTGGAAAGTGCTTAAGCACTCTCCGTGTGGCACGCACTGGGAGTCCGTTGTTGTCGAAACTCGCGAAGCGGAGGTCTAGAGTGTACGATCGCTGTGCTGGCGCTGCGCCATCGTCTGCAGCGGCGGTGGCACCGTCGTTGGTAGCTGTTGCATCATTTATATGTTGTCATGCGTACGCTGGTGCCTCTTCCAGCTCGAGCGGTACGCGAATCTACGGCCGCACACGTCGCATCGGTGCGGGCGCTCGCCCGTGTGGGTCCGCCGGTGCACCTTGAGGTTCGAGTGCAGTGAAAAGGCACGGCCGCACACATCACAGCTGAAGGGTTGTTCGCCCGTGTGGGTGCGCATGTGGAACACCAGCGCCTCATAACGGGATAAGTGCCGGCCACACTGCGGGCATTCGAAGCGCCGTTCCCCGCCCCTGCCGGCTCCGACACCACCGATGCCAACGCCACGACCAATGCCGATAATTCCGTCGCCGGGCTCCCGGCTGCGTCGTCTAGCGGCTGCGGTGTTGACGGCTGCGCGCCAGCTGGCAGGGAGCCGTGGGTTTGCGGTGGTGCTAGTTGCGGCACAATCGGTGCTAACCCGGTCTTCGCCCATCACCTGATGCTGCGGTTCCTGCTGCTGTTGCCGCCATTGGCGGTCGAATTGGTTGGGATGAGGCACAAGCGATTCTGCTGGTGTGTGTCTGTCATCCTTGACATAGTCTAGGGGGGTTTTGTCCAATAGTTTACCTAGAGGAGAAGATGACAGGGCCAGTGTTAATTTTGATGAATTTTGAGCCCTAAACCAAGCACGAGCATAGACATGTTTATATTTTTACGCTACTCACAAGACACAGAACCATCGCTGAAAATAAATTACACTGATCATGATACAGTGATACCTGACATATATACAAGTTACCTGTTTGGATGATAGGTTTTTATATTCTGCGTAGGAGGTTGTCATGCAAATTCTGCCTTTTTATGGGCCACATGAGAGTGAAGACAGGTTGAGTGCATGTACAAACGATCCAGGGAATTGTGTAGCTGCATGGCTTTGCTGCTTTTTAAGAGTTTCAGTTTGTACCATCATGGATATGACTTGGTGTTACTATAATGGCCATCCATCTGAAAATGTATTCTTGAGAGAAGTTAGTTCCTATCAATCTGTCAACGACACTTCCATCAATCTCGGATTCTCAGTGAAAAACGCTTTACTTATATGCATAAACATCACCCCTTAACTTCCATTGGCTGTCCCATCAAGTCATGCCAATCATTATAATTTTTGGATAATAGAATTATGAGATCAAGTATTGCACTTTTCTCACTAAGACATATTACTTATATGGAATCGTTGGCGTAACCTGCTGATGAGACAGCCAATGTGGGTTTAAGGGGCAGAGATTTAAGCCCTATGTATATACAGCCCTTTTACCAATCGACTGCTGGATAAGGGTCTCCTCAGGGTCATCAGTTATTTAACTACAGTCTGTTCTCCTGTAACGTGTTTTCATAACGTGAATTGGATTTTATGCGATAAATGTATTAGGGAACACATTTTTTATAACGCGGATGCGAATTGGATATAATGCGATTGGGCGAACAGAACTACGTCGCCTGAGTAGGAATAAGCGGTTGTATGGCCGCCTCGGCGTAGCATCACAAGGCGGGATGCTGCTGGTCGCTTCTATAGTTCAAATTAAAAGTGATTCTGCTTCTTTATTTAAATTTCTATTCAATGTCCAAAAAACAAAAAAATATTATCACAACTAAAACATTGGTTTTAGTTGGCCATACAGCATTGTAACATATTTACATAAAACAAATCTTGAGCTGTACTGAAATCCAACTGCACTCAGCAGTTTAACTCAATTTTAAATAAACTGAGAAAATTAACACTGGACAGTTCCCGAGAGGATGTCTACCATGTACATGGAGCCATGAAATAAGCTCGTTTGCAGGTGCTAGGTATATTGTTCCATTGCAGGATCATGAGCTTTGGCGATGGCTTTGGGAGTCCTTTATCCAACAGTGATGGATAAGTTCATAGTTGATGACAACCGTTTAATTCAAACTTCAAGATCCGACCATGTCCGTTCAGTGCTCGCCGAGCTGCATTGGCTTCCGGTTGCTGAACGAATACATTCTGAGGTCGCACTCATTATACACAAAGTGCTTTCCACAAATGAACTACAATACCTTGCTGATCTTGTCAAGGAGCATAAACCATCATTCGAACTTAGATCATCCTTGCAGCAGCTTTTGTCAAGCCATCGAACAAAGACGGTCGCTGTATCGCGCACTTTCAGATGCGCTTCTGCAGCCGGCTGGAACGCTATTCCTGCCGATATTAGAAAAACCACTGGAGCTATGCACTTTTAAATCTCGATTGAAAACGAATTTCTTTAGAACTGCTCTTTGTGTCTGTTGGTTGTCCTTCCCCCGCATCTCTGATTAGTATGGTTGGCTACGTACTGTGTGAGAGAAGTTCAACATACATACAAACATCACTCCTTCCCGTCAACTGCCACTAGGTGTCCTATTTGCTAAACAGAGTTGGAGACGAGGGGTAGAGATACCTCTGCATGAGTTCTCTGTGAAGGTTGTATTTATTTGGGCTCACCTTGTATTGGAAAAATATGGTAACTTGTGATGGCGCCATGGTGTAATGGTTCGCACACTGGATGGTTCGATCTTCCGCTATGGTAGTTGACAATGGACATGTTTCTTAATCCGCTACCTCTATCTAATCAACAGTATAAATATGCACACCAGTCGGTCGGCAGGTGGGGTGCATTGTGGGTATTCCCACCTCATCCAAGACATCTGGTCAGCATGGAAGAGTCCTCTAGAGTTCCCTCTAATTGAGGCCTTTACACCATCAAAGGGATGAGCAAGTAATTCCAGGGCTGCACCGTTACCTGTTGCAGCCACTGAAGGACGGATGTAACTCAGGATATTAGTGCCTTCAATCCTGTTGTTCTGGGTTCCAGCGATGGGGGCATGTCATCTTTTTCCATTGCAAACCAGACTGGGTTTCTCTTGCCCAACACAGCTGCCCCAGCTGAGGGCAGGTCTACTTCTGATGACATCACAGTCCCACTCACACAAACCCCAGTCACTTACTTACCGATGGTCAGTTGCCTTCTTATCACTCTTATGGTATTACTACCACAGTTATTATTCCCATAAAATGTATTCATTGATTTTCCTCCACCCATGTTGAGGACTCGGGTCAGTATTAATTGTTGAACCACTATACTGCAGGTTAAATTTATTCTCTCTTTGCTTCTTTCCTCACACACCTCGATTTTGAAATTCCATCCCATCATCTCTATTACCAAGTTCTTATAGCCTTGCTCAATTCAAGAACCATATTAACTCTGATATTTGATACCTTCAATAGTGCCGTTTGTTGCTGGTCGTTTGGCATTTTGTACCTGTGATTATCAACCATGGTTTTAAAATAAACTCACTGAGACACACAGGCTCTGTTACGATGAGGTCACAGGCCCATTTGTGCAAAGGTTATGAAAACATGTTGGCCCTGATATGATTGTGGCTTTGCTGGATCGAGCCCAATCTTGAATAATATTTATACATCAATCTGGCCCTTGCCTGCAAGCTGGGATCCGCTGTTTGCTGCGGTCCCTGCTGCCACTGAGTGGTGGGCTTCCGTCTCCTCCCAGCGCAGGTGGCTGCTCCCCTCTCCTCCCAGTGCTGCCCTCGACTCCTCCCCTGAGACGCGGGCAGAGGCAACAACTGAGACAACGGCACCCGCTGTCCCTGAACTCCCACTCCTGACCTTTGACATCAACATCCCCCTTCACCACCAAGAATATAAACTTAAATAAGGTAAAGGGGCAGCCCTCCCAAGTACTTGCCCACTGCCAGCAGACAGCTCCTCCAGAGGGGATATTGACCTACTCTTCCACAATGAACAAATGTGTTATGCTTTAGCCCACCATACACAACCTGCAGATCGACTGTTGTGTAACCATCTACACCACTGCACAGCTTTGGGTTGAAACTGGTGAGCTCTGATTTAAAGTCCAGTGCAAAACACTACACAAGGGCAGAATACACCAAGAATGCATGTTTGCTAGAACATACAGGGTGGTTCCACTTTGGTGCTTGTTTGACCCAGATTTCTCTTCAAATGGTGAGAAGATATCTCGATGGACTCACATGTATCTATGTATAAAAGCAGTTGTCAATACGCTGTAGCATGAGGGCCTTTATCACAGGTAACCTGGTGCCTTAGAGATCAGAGAAATGAGTTGGCACTGTCAAGATCCTGCATTCCAATTTGGGTTTCCGCCGCCCATGATTAATCAGCCACACATTATCACACATACTTTAGTCACTTCTATCAATGCATGAGGACATAAAAGCGTGGTGACATAAGGAACAAAAGTTTTTCCAGGTTGAAAAGTTTGTTCCAGAAGCAAATAAGTGTAGCTAAGATGCTTACAGTGACAATAAATATTGTTTTTGGGTCATTTAAAAGTTTTAGGCCTTATATGGTCTTGGGCCACATAAACTTAAGCTGCCGGCTGGGTCGTAGGTTCCTCATCCCTTACCCAAATGAAGACTTAAGATAAACACTGAAACTCTGCACGCATGCTTGTCAACAAACACCTTTATAAAACAGTACCTTCAAACGTCTCCAGTTTAATGTTGTGAGGCACGCCATTGGAGCTGTTCCCGTCAACAGCTGTGGTTGGGGTCTGCCGAGGTTCCTCTGCCAAAAATCATGACAGTGAAAACACACTTAGCCCATGGGGAATCCAGAGACCGATCAAAAAAGGGAAAAGTTGTTTCCTGGATTCTCATGAGTGGATGACCTCAGCCTGGTCACCAATGAGAAAAAAAAATCCCAGAACATTGGTTTAAGAGGTGGCTGGGTGGCTCAGAGGTCAGAGTGCCAAGCTGGCATTGCTGAGATCCTGGGTTCGAATTCAAGTCTCAGACTGCTGTGACTAAACTGGGTTCTCGTGTATAGTTAGTTGATGGTTTAAGCCTGGTTACCCATGATTGCACAATACGCCCACAACATTCAATTTGTTTCTTCATATTATTTGGCTAAATTCTGGCTTTAAGAATTTAAATATCCTTTTGTGTGTCATGCAATGAAAATTACTCTCTGCAGCAGGGCACGTAAGTGCTGCCCACTAATACGTTGACCAAAGGTCACAAGAAGGGATCATACAGTTAGCTCTGTGATTTCCGCTTCTGTGGGCCATTCTCTAACAACAGTTGCACTTCTCTGTGAGAATAAGGGAGTAATGTTCATAAAATACCACGGAGTCGGACATACTTAGACGACCTAACTTTTTAATCCATGCTGGGATGGTGATGGTGAATTAAGTTTCGCCTATGTGTCAAACCATTGGCTTATTCCACGAGCATTTTTTTTTCTAAACCTACAATTATCTTCAAAATTACACTACATACAAATAGGAATGTATGATTAGGATAACTACTAAATTATCACTGCGAAGTCTTCTACTTGTGGTATTGCCCGTTTGTGAAAATGTAAGAAAATGTAAAAATATTGTCGCGCTATACCGGACAGGTGATTGTAGTAGTGTTCACCGTAGTCTTCCATTTGTGTTGGCGAGCGGTGTTCAGCATTGGCAAACACTGTGGTGGCATCTAAAGCAATAACACAAAATCCATTTTTAACATTAGACACGCAATGGATTCTTATAACGGATTCTTATGGTCATGGGGTAAAGCGTGGGTCGTACTCCCACTTCCTCCAAGACGTCCATTTGCCCAGCGTGGTAACAAAGACCAAACACCCCCAAGCAGGAATCTCTAGGAGTTCACTCTGGTGAAGGCCTGTTCACTAGCAGTGGTCTGGTCAATTGCAGGCCAGCACCTTGAGTCCTTCACCCTATGCTAATGATATATCTATCCATCTGTGTGTAATAATTGACCATTTTTGAAAGAGGCCGACCGAAACTGAAAATTGACTTTCGGCCAAAACCGAAAGTTAACTTTTTGGCTTCGGCCGAAACAGAAACTATGCCGAAAGAGGCCATTTGCAAACTTTCGGCGCCGAAACCGAATTTCGGTCGGCCTCTAATTGTCAGACTTAGAATCTCGGTATCAACACGCGTGTAGACTGAAGTGAACGCAACACATAAGCCAAGGCAGACAGGCGGCTGGGAACAGACAACAGAGGCACTTTGTTGTCGTCCCACCAAAGAGACTCCACCCACGGATGGAGAAGCAGGCTGCCGTCTGTTGACCGGTCGTATATACATTAGCAGACCATGGTTGCGGCTGTAACCTTGCTCCCAAGCTGCTGCTGCTGACGTGTGTTTGTGTTTGCAGCCTATCACCTAGGATTGCTGAGCGCTGACTGACTGGCCGATAGGCAGAGTGATAGATGTAGCACTAGCGTTATATTCTAAAAATAGATCTTCGGTTGACGAATGACGACTGAAAGTTAATATCAGTTTCGGCTGAAACCGAAACCAGACGGAAAGTAAAAAATTTACTTTCGGCCGAAACCGAAATTCGGTCGGCCTCTAATGTTAGATACAGATATATTCATACAGTACTGTACCACTAAACTGTACATTATTCTAATTTATACCAGTATGTTGCACACACTGAAAGCAGTGACTCTGAACTGTGACAACTGAGGGGTTTTCCAGGAAACAAAACCCACAAAATCTTGTTTTTCAGAAAATAGGTTTTATGTTGAGTTGGTATATAAACTGGATGGACGAATTTTTTTAATTCATTCTCCAGCCATCTGTGGAAGGATTGCACAATGAAGAGTGGATTGTAAGGTGCTCCAACGAAGATAGGATGGGTTATATTGAATACATTTTCAAGAGGGTGACTTGACACTTGATGGTACTTACCTGACACTCGGCAGATATTTACCACTCACCTAACACTCACTTCTTATTTCTCGCCAATTCATATAATATAGTGGGAAACCTATTAAGTATTTGGATATAAAAGAGGTTAAATAATACACCAAGAAAATTGAACTAATGTACTAATTAAACGAAATAAGCATTTGTGATTAAAATGCTCGCCCACCTGCCCCAATGACACACAGCTATGAATGTTATTATTTTAAAATCAGGTGTATGGAGGAATCAATGCAAATGGTAGAGTGGAAAAGAAGTGCTGGGGCCAAATTTATTAGCTCAAAGGTCAAATCTTTTCACCATTTTTCATAAACTCCATATCATGACCTTTCATATGACATCTCATTCTGTGAAATTGGTGGAGTGGCCTCGGAGTTCTTAGAAAAAGATAGACTATTACTTTATTTCCAGGATATTGCTCACTGAATCATGGACAGAGTGATTTTGTATAGCATGGATAGAAATAAAATGTGGCTCTGTGTTCTCCAATTCAATTCGAATTGTGCTATTGGCATCACACTGAAACAAAAAATCATTTCAGAACTCTCTCAGATTAGTGCACCAATCCGTATTCGATAATGGCCAATTGATAAAAATATTACAGGTCTGCCTCTGAGATCCCTTCAGGTGACCTCTTATCCACATTTTACCACATTCACTGTTAGTGATAAAAAATTATGAAATGGCAGTAGAACTAATACATTGAATTGTCAAAGCTGGCATGTTTCCAAAGCAAAAGCCAACATTTTATGTTATTTGGTATGGACATTGGTGACGAGGCTCAGACCATCAGCATGGGAAACTTGAGAACCCAGTTTTTAATTGCATGTGGCTAAAATCTAAATTCGAAACCAAGATCTCAGCAATGCCGGCTTAGTAGAACTAATACAGAGAGGATGTATACCGTGGACGTAGAGCCATGAAATCAGCTCGTGTGCAGGTGCTAGGTACATTGTTCCATTGCAGGACCATGAGCTACGGCGATGGCTTTGGGAGGCCTTCATGCAACAGTGATGGATAAGTTCATAGTTAATGACAACCGTTGAATTCAAACTTCAAGATCCGACCATGTTCGTTCAGTGCTCGCCGAGCTGCATTGGCTTCCGGTTGCCGAACGGATACATTCTGAGGTCGCACTCATTACACATAAAGTGCTTGCCACAAATGAACTACAATACCTTGCTGATCTTATCAAGAAGCATAAACCATCATGCAAACTTCGGTCATCCTTGTAGCGGCTTTTGTCAAGCCATCGAACAAAGACGGTCGCTGCATCTGGCACTTTCAGATGCGCTTCTGCGGCCGCCTGGAACGCTATTCCTGCCGATATTAGGAAACCACTGGAGCTATGCACTTTTAAATCTCGATTGAAAACGAATTTCTTTAGAACTCTTTGTGTCTGTTGGTTGTCCTTCCCCCGCACCTCTGATTAGTATGGTTGGCTACGTACTGTGTGGTTCAACATACATACAAACATCACTCCTTCCCCTCAACTGCCACTAGGTGTCCCATTTGCTAAACAGAGTTGGAGACAAGGGGTAGAGATATCTCTGCATGAGTTCTCTGTGAAGGTTGTATTTCTTTGGGCTCACCTTGTATTGGTAATATATGGTAACTTGTGATGGCGCCATGGCTGAATGGTTCGCACACTGGATGGTTCGATCTTCCGGCATGGTAGTTGACAATGGACATGTTACTTAATTCGCTACCTCTGTCCAATCAACAGTATAAATATGCACACCACAGTCGGTCGGCAGGTGGGGTGCAGTGTGGGTACTCCCACCTCATCCAAGACATCTGGTCAGCATGGAAGAGTAAGCCAAATATCCTCTCGTGGGGGTCCTGTAGAGTTCCCTCTAATGGAGGCCTTTACACCAGCAAGGGGATGAGCCGGTAATTCTAGGGCTGCACCGTTACCTTTTGCAGCCACTGAGGGATGGATGTAACTCAGGATACTAGTGCCTTCAATCCTGTTGTCCTGGGTTCCAGCGATGGGGGCATGCCATCTTTTTCCATTGCTTCCCTCTTTGCTTCTTTCCTCACACTGCTCGATTTTGAAATTACATCCCATCATCTCTATTACCAAGTTCTTATAGCCTTGCTCAATTCAAGAACCATATTAACTCTGATATTTTATACCTTCAATAGCGCTGATTGTTGCCTGGTTGTTTGGCATTTTGGATCTGTGATTATCAACCATGGTTTTAAAATAAACTCACTGAGACAAACAGGCTCTGTTACGATGAGGTCACAGGCCCATTTGTACAAAGGTTATGAAAAAATGTTGGCCCTGATATGGCTGTGGCTTTGCTGGATCGAGTCCAATCTTGAATTATATTTATACATCAATCTGGCCCTTGCCTGCAAGCTGGGATCCGCTGTTTGCTGCGGTCCCTGCTGCCACTGAGTGGTGAGCCTCCGTCTCCTCCCAGCACAGGCGGCCGCTCCCCTCTCCTCCCAGTGCTGCCCTCGACTCCTCCCCTGAGACGTGGGCAGAGGCAACAACTGAGACAATGGCACCCGCTGCCCCCGAACTCCCACTCCTGACCTTTGACATCAACATCACCCTTCACCACCAAGAATGTAAAGTTAAATAAGGTAAAGGGCAGCCCTCACAACTACTTGCCCACTGCCAGCAGACAGCTCCTCCAGAGGGGATATTGACCTACTCTTCCACAATGGCCAAATGTCTTATGCTTTAGCCCACCATACACAACCTGCTGATCGACTGTTGTGTAACCATTTACACCACTGCATAGCTTTGAGTTGAAACTGATGAGCTCTGATTTTAAGTCAAGTGCAAAACACTACACAAGGGCAGAATTCAATAATGCATGTTTGCTAGAACATACAGGGTGGTTCCACTTTGGTGCTTGTGTAGTGGGTTGAATAACTAGAAGATAACTTCCCTGAGGCAACACAGTTTTTACTTAACAATTAACACTTAACACAGGGGTAACGGCCCTTCACACCCGATACTCTATGGAGAGTGTCCCTCCAGACTAATACGCCTCTCACTGGTTAATCTACAAGTCCTCCTTGAGTGAAGCTTGGATCTTCACTGGTATACAAGCTGGAGCCGACCCTTGCCAGGGGTGCGGCTCTGCCCTTGGGGCTTTTCTCTTCAGGAGGCTTCTTGTCTTCAGCTGGATGACGACTGACCCGGAACGTTCAAGGGTCCGGCTTTTATGCAGGGCCGTGGCTCGCCCCGCCCCGGCCACGCCTTCCTTCCCGAACCTTCGAGAAGGATCTGGGGGTGATGTCATCCCCCAGCCCCCCTCCTGGGGTCTGTCTCTTTAACATACCGTTCCATAGGGTAACCGTTGGTGCCTATGGCTCATAGTCTCTCAGCACTGGGGCTCAGCCCCTCTGTTGCCCCCTATCGACATGTGGCCGGTACTGCCGGCAAATGCATGGGAACGGCGCCTCTTAGCCCAATAACACCGTTACACTTGTTTGACCCAGATTTCTCTTCAAATGGTGAGAAGATATCTCGATGGACTCATATGTATATGTGTGGTGAGTCCAACTGAGTCGCAGACGTCTTTAGTAGCAGCACATTTATTAACTTTTAACACAACATACACCTAGGGTGGTGACCAGCCAACTAACCACGCTACGGTGTTAACACACTCTGTTTCGCGATCCCGGTCCGGACCACAAGCTGGGTCCCGGACCGCGTGGCTGGAGTTCTTCTTCAGCTTGATGTGGAACTCCTTGCCTCTCCAACACAAAGAACCCCGGGCCCCTCCCTTATATTTGTCCGGGCTGGGGCTCGCTCTGCCTCTCGCCCCGCCCACTTTCTCGATCTTTCTCGCCCTTACCCTAAGGCTCTCGAAAGCTCTTCCCAAACCATGTGACCACCCTTTGGCCCCCTCCACCTGTGGCCCCCCTCCGGTAACGACCCGTCACGCGGCCAAAGGTCAACCAGAGTACCATCACCTGATGTTACCCTGACTAAGCCGACGCTCTCTCGCTCCCTCAAGTGGGAGACCGCACTGCACACAGCGCATGGTGCTATCGCGCTAACCAGCGCTCTCCCAAACCCCCACGAGGGTTGGTACTGCACCCCGTGTCCAGGGTGTACACAATGATGGTGCATCTTCCGCCGTGGCCTCGCAGGCGCGGCACCACACAGTGACCTTCCCAGTCACTACATATGTATAAAAGCAGTTGTCAATATACTGTAGCATGAGGGCCTTTATTACAGGAAACCTGGTGCTTTAGAGATCAGGGTATTGAGCTGACACTGTCAAGATCCTGCATTCCAATTTGGGTTTCCGCCGCCCATGATTAATCAGCCACACATTATCACACACACTTCAGTCACTTCTGTCAATGCATGAGGACATAAAAGAATGGTGATATTAGGAACAAAAGTTTTTCCAGGTTGAAAATAGTTTGTTCCAGAAGCAAATTAGTGTAGCTAAGATGCTTACAGTGACAAAAAATATTGTTTTTGGGTCATTTAAAAGTTTTAGGCCTTATGTGGCCTTGGGCCGCAAAAACTTAAGTTGTGGGCTGGGTCGTAGGTTCCTCATCCCTTACCCAAATGAAGACTTAAGATAAACACCGAAACTCTGCACGCATGCTTGTCAACAAACACCTTTATAAAACAGTACCTTCAAACGTTTCCAGTTTAATATTGTGAGCCATGCCATTGGGGCTGTTCCCGTCAACAGCTGTGGTTGGGTTCTGCCGAGGTTCCTCTGCCAAAAATCATGACAGTGAAAACACACTTAGCCCATGTGGAATCCAGAGACCGATCAAAAAAAGAAAAGTTTATTCCTGGATTCTCATGAGTGGATAACCTCAGCCTGGTCACCAATGAAAAAAGAAAACATCCCAGAACATTGGTTTAAGAGGTGGCTGGGTGGCTCAGAGGTCAGAGTGCCAAGCTGGCATTGCTGAGATCCTGGGCTTGAATTCAAGTCTCAGACTGCTGTGATTAAACTGGGTTCTTATGTATAGTTAGTTGATGGTTTCAGCCTGGTTACCCATGATTGCACAATACACTCACAACATTCAATTTGTTTCTTCATATTATTTGGCTAAATTCTGGCTTTGAGAATTTAAATATCCTTTTGTGTGTCATGTGATGAAAACTCTCTGCAGCAGGGCACGTGAGTGCTGCCCACTAATACGTTGACCAGAGGTCACTTGAAGGGATCACAGAGGTAGCTCTGTGATTTCCGCTTCTGTGGGCCATTCTCTAACAACAGTTGCACTTCTCTGTGAGAATAATGGAGAAATGTTCATAATATAGCACAGAGTCAGACATACTCAGACGACCTAACTGTTTAATCCATGCTGGGATGGTGATGGTGAATTAAGTTTTGTATATGTGTCAAACCATTGGATTATTCCATGAGCATTTTTTTTCTTAACTTACAATTATCTTCAAAATTACACTACCTACAAATAGGAATGTACGATTAGGATGATTACCAAATTATCACTGCGGAGTCTGCTACTTGTGGTATTGCCCGTCTGGTGAAAAAGTTAAAATATTTTGTCACGCCTTACCGGACAGGTGATTGTAGCAGTGTTCATCGTAGTCTTCCATTTGTGTTGGTGAGCGGTGTTCAGCGTTGGCAAACACTGTGGTGGCATCTAAAGCAATAACACAAAATCCATTTTGAACATTAGACACGCAATGGATTCTTATAACGGATTCTTATGCTCATAGGATAAAGCATGGGTAGTACGCCCACTTCTTCCAAGACATCCATTTGCCCAGCGTGGTAACATAGACCAAACACCCTCAAGCAGGAATCTCTCGGAGTTCACTCTGGTCAAGGCCTGTCCACCAGCAGTAGTCTGGTATATTGCAGGCCAGCACCTTGAGCCCTTCACCATATGCTCATGATATATCTATCCATCTGTGTGTAATAATTGACCATTTTAGATACAGATATATACAGTACTGTACCACTATACTGTACAGTCTACTAATTTATACCAGAATGTTATACACACTGAAAGTTGTGGCTCTGAACTGTGACAACTGAGGGGTTTTCCAGGATACAAAACCCACGAAATATTGCTCTTCAGAAAATAGGTTTTCATTGAGTTGGTAAATAAACTGGATGAACAAAAAATTTGTGTTCATTCTCCAGCCATCTGTTGAAGGATTACACAATGAAAAGTGGAGTGTAAGGTGTTCCAACGAAGATAGGATGGGTTATATTTAATATATTTTCAAGAGGGTGACTTGACACTTGATGGTACTTACCTGACACTCGTCAGATATTTACCACTCACCTAACACTCACTACTTATATTTCGACAATTCATACAATACAGTGGGAAACCTATTATGTATTTTTCCAGTGTCATTGACAAATTGGTTGACTTTTTGGATATAAAGGAGGTTAAATAATACACCAAGTAACATGAACTAATGTACTAATTAAACTAAACAGGCATTTGTGATTCAACTGCTCGCCCACCTGCCCCAATGGCACACAGCTATGAATTTTATTATTTTAAAATCAGGTGTATGGAGGAATCATTGCAAATGGTAGAGTGGAAAAGAAATGCTGGGGCTAATAAGCCAAATTTATCAGCTCAAAGGTCCAATCTTTTCATGATTTTTCATAAACTCCATATCATGACCTTTAACATGACATCTCATTCTGTGAAATTGGTGGAGTGGCCTAGGAGTTCTTAAAAAAAGATACATACATACAGATTATCCACTTAATTTCCAGGATATTGCTCACTGAATCATGGACAGAGTGATTTTGTATATCATGAATAGAAATAAAATGTGGCTCTGTCTTGTCCAATTCTATTCTAATTGTGCTATCGGTATCACACTGAAACAAAAAATCATTTCAGGACTCTCTCAGAGCAGTGCACCAACCCGTATTCGATAACGCCTATTGATTCAAATATTACAGGTCTGCCTCTGAGATCCCTTCAGGTGACCTCTTATCCACATTTGACCACATTCACTATTACAGTGAGAAAAATGTATGGAATGGCAGTAGAACTAATAAATTGAAATGTCAAAGCTGGCATGTTTCCAAAACAAAAGCCAACATTTTAAATTATTTGGTATAGACATTGGTGACGAGGCTCAGACCATCACCACGTGAAACTTGAGAACCCAGTTTTTAATTGCATGTGGCTAAAATCTAAATTCGAAACTAGGATCTCAGCAATGCCGGCTTCGTAGAACTAATACAGAGAGGATGTATACTCTTTGGTTGGTTTTTCACACCTGATGATGACCGTTTGTGTTACGGTCGAAACGTCGTGAGAATTTTTATTGTTTTATATATATATTTCATTATTTTATTGTTTCCCTTCAACGTGACTTTACCGAAAGAGCTAAGAATATGTACACCTGGCCCTCAAAAAGGAATGGATACTCTGACCGTAACATCTGCCAAGCTGTTTCTCCCTCGATACAGAAACAACCACTTGATACTCCGGTCAAAACCATCACACTACCATATATAGCAGGCGTTACTAAAAAGATTTCCAAAATTCTAAACAACCACAAGATCCAGGTCCGGTTCAACACAGTACACAAAATTTGTGATCTGATCCCATCCGTGAAGGATGTCATTCCTGACTTAAAGTACCCTGGGGTTTACACCTGCGGTGATTGCTATATCGGGGAGACTAAGCAACATGTCTCTGACCGAATTCGCGAGCACAAAGCAGATTTGAAACACGGCAGAACGAATTCTTCTGCCGCAGCTGATCACTGTTACAACGCTGTGGGTGATCACGATATAATTTTCTCCGATACCAAGGTTCTTTGCAAACTCACGGGTTTTTATCAGAGATTTGTTCACAAGGCAATTCAGATTTACAAACACAGACACACTTTCAACCGAGAAGATGGTTTCAAATTAAGCAACCATTGGAAAGATGTTCTAAATCGAACCAAACATTAAACTAATTTTCAATGGTACAGTATATTTTTTCAAGTAGTGGTACCCCAAACTTTCGCAGCTCTTAAATTCCCTTTTCACACCATCAATAGAGAAACTCCCCCCCCCCGCGCCAACCGGCATGTGCACCCGCATGTACACCACCTCTATGCTAAGTTGGCCAATCAAATGCTAATTTTTATGCTAATTCCTTTGTCAAGGCACCTTGTTTCTTCGCACACAGCTTAAAGGTCGCTGTCTGAGCGTGGCTGTGTTCCACTCCAGCGCTGTCCTCGAGACAGCCTGATCCCATCACCTGATGAAGGCCGCTTGTGTTGTGGCCGAAACGTCGTGATTTTTGCTGTTTTATTTTTACCTACGTGATTTTACCGAATAGAACCAAAGAGTATGGATCCTTGCAGTCACGAATGCTTTAAATCTAGAACAGAGAGGATGTCTACCGTGGACATGGAGACATAAAATCAGTCCGTGTGCAGGTGCTAGGAAAAGTGCCAGCTTTATTTTCATTGCTCAAAAGAGTGTTGGGTGATGCTCATCTGAAATGCAACTTTATCTAAAGTTTAGTCCACACTAGGTAATCTTCATGAGAGTTAACATGCCACTGCGTTCCAGACAGAAACAAGACAAAGTCTATAGCCTGGTCTGTGTGGACACTGTTGGTGCTCACTCACCATAGCCCGAGTACTCATTCTTCACGCTTGCCGTGCCCTCCTCCTCATCAGCCACCCTGGAATCAGATGCGAGTCCCTCCGGGTCTGGCGGGGAGTCCCCAGAAAAGACCCGTCCATCTCCTCCATTCCCACTGCCATCACCGCAGCCACCGCCACCGCCACCATCACCACCACTACCACCTCCCAGCCTCCGCATGGACAGCAGCAGCTCCCGGCTCAAACCGCTGAGCAACGCGAGCAGCACTTCCACCAGCCCTCCCAGCGTCACGTCACCAGGGGAGGAGGCGGCCGCGTCGTCATCCCAGCGTGGTGTCCCAGCGCCGTCGTGGGGCTCGGTTCCCTGCAGGGTCTTCACCACCTGCCGCAGCACGGCGTAGAAGCCGAAGGGCAGGCGGTCGCGTGCCGCAGCCAGCAGCTCGGCCCGCACGAGACCATCCCCGACACAGGCGCGCAGGACCCCGTAGTCCCGGATACCCAGCTCGGAGTCCATGGCCCGGGCCACCTCCGCGTTCACGCCCTGCGTCTCCAGCCACGCCGGGAAGTCCTCGCTCGGCTCCAAGATGGAGGCGATGGCTGGGACGGATGCCACCGCGCACGCCATTCCTCACACTGTGAGAACAGTTAATGTTAACACAAAAAATGTCACCTTCTGATTGGAATCACGTAGACAACATGACTGCTTCTTCTGCTGAGTCACTGTCAGTCAAATGTAAAGCTAACCTGATTTCTAAATTCAACCACCTATCAAAGAAGAACCCAGTTCCACATATAACAAAACTAGATGTTAACAAAATCGTCATTAATCAGAGTAGCACCCCGATTTCGGACAATCTGAAAACAGTACTGGCTAGGGGACTAAATTTTGCTGTCACCCCAAAACACATACCAATAGATGATATCATCTCTCAGGTCGATGTAGCCCTCAAAGGCGTAGGACACATCCAAGCAGACGTTGCGAGAGCTGAAATAGCCACTATTCTTAAGAATGCTAAGAAACCCATTAGTAACATCAGCAAAAATGAACGCTCTGAACTCGCGAATTTAAAAAAACAGAAGTGATATAGTCATCCTCTCAGCCGATAAAGGCAACGCTACTGTTATTATGGATAAAGATTCAAACAACAAAATCCAGAATCTGCTCAACGATGGAAGTTACTCAAAAATAAAAAAATGACCCTACTAATAGCCTAGCGATAAAAACCAACAAGATCATCACAAGTTCGACCTCCCTAATCGACCCAACTAAACGTCCCTCCCTAAAACCTTCTGCTGCAAGACCCCCTAGATTCTATGGTCTTCCCAAGATTCATAAAGAAGGCACCCCACTTCGACCCATCGTATCCACGATCAACTCCCCTACCTATAGACTAGCCCGTTTTCTGTCAGATACCTTGCTGCCTTTCACTGGCAAGACCGCCTCAGCAGTACTTAACTCAGCCCAATTGGTCTCTATGGTCAAAGACGTTGTACTGTCCCCTGACGATATCCTTGTCAGCTTCGATGTGGTCTCTTTGTTCACCAAGGTCCCAGTACCTGATACCATTGAAATAATTGAAAATTTGGTCCAACATGGATTAGACCCCGACACACCTGCACTGGTTAGGCACTGCCTCAACAATACCTACTTTACTTGGAATGGCTCCTTCTAGAAACAAAATGAGGGTACCCCCATGGGATCCCCCTTATCACCAGTGATAGCCAATATTTTCAAGGAAAAATTTGAATCAGATGCCATCCAGACTTCCACCCTCAGACCTTCCCTGTGGAAGAGATATGTGGATGACACTTTCGTCATTTGGCCACATGGCCTCCCAGCTCTGAACCTTTTCCTACACCACATCAATTCCAGACATCCCGCCATCAAATTCACCATGGAAGTGGAGAAAGATGGCAAGTTACCATTCTTAGATGTTCTGTTTGAGAGGAGACCTGATGGCTCATTGGAGCATTCTGTCTACAGGAAACCCACCCACACAGATTCCTACTTGAAACCTGATTCCCACCACCACCCAGCCCAAAAGAATTCTCTCATCAAAACTTTATACCATAGGGCTCATTGCATTTCGGACCAACACCACCTGACCAGTGAATTAAAACATGTACACCTGGCCCTCAAAAGGAATGGTTACTCTGACTGTACCATCCGCCAAGCTGTCTCTCCCTCCATACAGAAACAACCAGTTGATACTCCGGTCAAAACCATCACACTTCCATATATAGCAGGCGTTACTAAAAAGATTTCCAAAATTCTAAACAAACACAAGATCCAGGTCCGGTTCAATACAGTACACAAAATTCGTGATCTGATCCCATCCGTGAAGGATGTCATTCCTGATTTACAGTACCCCGGGGTTTACAAATTGAGTTGTACCTGCGGTGATTGCTACATCGGTGAGACAAAGCGACATGTCTCTGACCGAATTCGCGAGCACAAATCAGATTTGAAACACGGCAAAACGAATTCTTCTGCCGTGGCTGATCACTGTTACAACGCTGTGGGGGATCACGATATAATTTTCTCCGATACCAAGGTTCTTTGCAAACCCACGGGCTTTTATCAGAGATTTGTTCATGAAGCAATTCAGATCTACAAACACAGACACAATTTCAACCGAGATGATGGTTTCAAATTAAGCAAGCATTGGAAAGATGTTCTAAATCGAACTAAACATTAAACTAATTTCAATGGTACAGTATATTTTTCAAGTAGTAGTACCCCAAACTTTCGCAGCTCTTATAAATTCCCCCTTTTCACACCATCAATAGGTAACCCCCCCCCCCCCCGCGCCAAACTGCAAGTCCACCGGCACGTACACCAGCTCTTTCCTAAAATCCGCCAATCAAATGCTAATTTTTATGCTAATTTCTTTGTCAGAACACCTTGTTTGCTCGCACACAGGTCCGATGTCTGAGCGTGGTTGTGTTTCGCTAAATTCTCCTGTTTGATGAGTACTAGGTGCCTCGGTGAATGTATATGCTCTAACTTTAACACAGCTATTTCTGTGACCAGTTACAAGCCAATCACTCAGCTATTTCAATGCTAAATTCGATGCTAATTCCTTTGTCAAGGGGTACCTCTGCGGATGTGTATACTTTAACTTAGCTATTTCAATGAGCCATTTCAATGCTAAATTATATGCTAATTCCTTTGTCAAGGCGCTTGGTCTTTTTCTTCTCACACAGCTTAAAGGTCGTGATCTAAGCGTGGCTTCTTCCACTCCAGCGCTGTCCTCTAGACAGTCTCGTCCCTTCACCTGATGAAGGCCGCTTGTGTTGTGGCCGAAACGTCGTGATTTTTTGTTGCTTTATTTTCACCTACGTGACTTTACCCAATGGAACCAAAGAGTATGGTTAATTTTAGGTGATCGGTTGTGGATGTTTTGAATTTTTCTCTCTTGTACCACGTGTACTTTGGCATATCTAATATTTCGCTCCACATTTTGGGAGCTTCTGCAGGAACTACATTTATCTGCTCAGCTCCCAGTGCTTGGAGCAAAGTGTCGGACATTACGCTAAACAACATGCAATACAATTCGAAAATAACTGAGTTCTAGAGCTCAAATTGAACGAAACATTGTCAGATTTTGTTCTCTATTAACTTGACAGCTGATAGTTTGTTTGCCAACCTTTATCTATCCACTGCTGGTTGAAGGCCTCCCAATGCCTTCGGTCAAGAGGATAGTTAACCATACTGTCACGCTGGTCAGTGCGGCTGAGTTACGGGGGTGGTACCCAGGACTGGGTCAGATATGAATCACTGTTAGCCATGGCCTGAAATCAAACTCAGGTTGTCAGGTTCATAATGCAGTGTGCTAAACCGCTGTTGCCACAGCTCAAACTCAAGTACTTGTGCACGAAGTTTACTGTTTTCTGGGTAAGGGCTATATTTGGGATATTTCGCCCATTCCATATTTTAATGTGTTGTGTGTATTCGATGTTTCGTGTGGTAAGCAAGGGTTACAGCAATACAACAAAACACACCTCGAATATTGCTAATATTAAAATATAACCTGTATGAACACCTACATGCACGGCCCTTTTGTCAATTCATTGCTGGATGAGAACCTCCCCACTCAATGCAGGTCGTGCGGGTGATTTGACCATACTTCACCACCCTGGTTGTTGCGGATTTGAAGACTGGGAGCATAGTACAGTGCAATGACGTGTTGGTGCACTGACATTCTGCAGTGTAGTCTATCGTGCCATCTTTAGCACAGTAGTCTGTAGTATAATATATATTAGTGTACGCCAGTGTAATCTAAAGCACACGTGTAGTCAACAGTGTAATGTACAGCACAGTCTACAGTGTAATCTTGGACACTGTAGGTCACAGTGTAATGTAAAGCACAGTGTAGTCTATCGTGCCATCTATAGCACAGTACAGTCTGTAGTATAATATATATAACAGTGTACGCCAGTGTAATCTAAAGCACACGTGTAGTCAACAGTGTAATGCACAGTACAGAGGAGTCTACAGTGTAATCTTGGACACTGTAGGTCACAGTGTAAAGCACAGATTAGTCTACAGCGTAATCAATAGCACGGTATAGTCCATTGCAATCTGCAACGGAGTGTGGTCTGTCGTAGAATCTATATCCCAGTGTAAAACGTACATTAACAACGTGGTGAGGGATGGCCAGATATTATATATATATATTTTATTTGTTTTAAAAAAACCCCGCGGCGTCGGCAACAGGCTAACCGAGTGTATGGCGCGACCAGGCCTCTCCCCTCAGCTGTGAAGGCTTCCAGCCGCTCAACGAGGCGACGAGGAGACGGTGGTGGTGGTTGGTGGTGGTGAAGACGGACGAGTGAGGTAGGTGTAGGAGGGTGGAGGAGGTGGACGAGGAGGAGGTGGACGAGGAGGAGGTGGACGAGACGAAGAGGGGAGAGCAGCAGCGAGCTGGAGACGGAGGGGGTCGCCCGCGCTCTGTTGGCCCCCGTGCGAGTGCCTCCCCCCCACCCTCACACCCCCTAAGGGACCGCGGCGATGTGACGCGCGTGCAGCGAGAAACGCGCGCGCACGTGTCCCTCTGTCGTGGACACGTGGAGTTATTGTTGATTTATCTTCTTTGGTTCTTTCGGTAAAGTCACGTAGAATGAGAATAAAATAATAAGAATTTTAACAGGAATTTTATTGTTTTATTTTGTTATTTTATTCTCATTCTACGTGGTGACTTTACCGAAAGAACCAAAGAAGATGAAACCTTGCAGTCGCGAAAGCTTTAAATCGAAATTATTGTTGATTTGTTTTAAGTGGAGGGAATCCGATGAGCTATACAAGCGCTTTCCCACCCCGCCGCACGCACGTGGTCAGAACGTCAAGACGACAAACAATACAAAGCACGTAACGGGAGTGCTAAGTATGGGAAAGTTAAACGTAAAATGTAAATACATTATTCTCGGTTCTTTCGGTAAAGTCACGTAGAAGGGAAATAATAAAATTACAAAAATAAAATTATCACTTTTATTTAATTATGTTCTATTTTTACTATTTTAAAGATAAAATAAAATTCTCACTATTTTATTCGATTATGTTTTATTTTAATTATTTTATTGTTTCCTTTCTACGTGACTTTACCGAAATAACCAAGAATATGAATTCCTGTAGTCACGAAAGCTTTAAATCGAAATGTAAATACAGTGAGTCCCCAGGTCCTATGTGCGAAGCAGTCATGGTATGGGGAGATTTTAGTTTTTAATCGCAGATAAACTATTTAAACTACTTAAACAATGTTTTGCTTTATTTTTATTTTACCAGGTAAGGTCCCACTGAGATGTGTGTATATATTTGTTTTTCAGAAACGACCTGGTTATCACAAAAATCTGGAGCACCTGGAGAAAAATCCACGCGACCACGGGGAAAGACACCGCAAACGCCAACTATACAGCAGGCATCGTCATGGTCAGGATTAGGGCTGAACGATTTGGGGAAAATATCTAATTGCGATTTTTCTGCAGATATTGCAATTTGATTTGCGATAAAATGTTTTAAAGTCAAGCTTCAGTTCAATATTCACTGTGTAATAGATTTAAAACGTGATGGAGCATTACCAAAATATTCAAATATTTTTGTGTGCTCACAAATATTTTTTCATTAACTTGCTCATTATTAATATATTTATCATTGTGTCACCATGTTGATAGTAACCTATTTTTTTATTATCACCTTGGTAATATTACATTAATATTTGTGTGCAGACAACTAATATTTGTATTCCTTGCTTCTTTCGCTAAACTCGCGTACGTAGAAACCTGTTATTTTAATAATCACCTTGAAATTTTAAAAATATTTTTGTTTGTGTGCTGACAACCAATATTTCTAAAAAATATATTAACATATTCCTGTTTGTGTGCTGACAATGAACATTTCTAAATGTACTTGGTCAATATTAATATACTTTGCATTGTGTCTGAGTCCTTGTGTGCGTGTGAGTCCATGTGCGTGTCTGCCACCATGTGTGTGCCTACATCCGTGTGTTTGTGTATCAGTCGATGTGTGTGCGACTCAAGGTTTGTGTACATGAGTTGATATGTCTGTGTGTCAGTCGATGTGTGTGTGTGAGTCGATATGTGTGTGCCAGTCGATGTGTGTGTGTTAGTCAATGTGTGTGCGTGGTGTATGTGTGCGTAGACAACTAATATATTGAAAATAAGTTAGTAACTTTTTAAATATTTGTGTGTGTATCTCAGTCCATGTTTGCGTGCGATTTGATGTGTGTGTCTGCATCGATGTGTGTGAGTGCGTGCGATTTGATGTGCGTGTCTGCATCGATGTGTGTGTGAGTCTGTCTGTGTGAGTCGATGTGTGTGTGTGTGAGTCAATGTGTGTGTGTGAGAGTCCGTATGTGCGTGAGTCGATATGTGTGTGTGTGTCAGTCGACGTGTGTAACGCAGTACCGCTGCTCGGTCGGAGACAGCACCCTACTGTCGTATGCGACCACGTGCTCTACCCCATTTACAACCTGCGACAACACTGCTCCAATGCCGGTATTACTATCATCCGTATCCAAGACAAATGGAAACGAAAAATCGGGATAACGCAGGGGAGGGGCATTCACCAGCCCCTCGCGAATGGCCCTAAATGCGGCCTCCTCTTGCCAATGAAATTTTTGCCCCTTAGCCATCAAAGCGTGGAGAGGTTTCGCAATGGACGCCCAACCCGGCGACAAAACGGCGATAATATGACACGAAGGCGATGAAACTGCGCACTTCAGTCGCCGAGGTGGGCGTTAGCCACGTTCGAACACATGTAGTTTTCTCCGGGTCTGTCGCAATACCCGACTCGCTAACTATGTGGCCAAGATACCGAACAGATTTCTGAAGGAGGTGACATTTCTGCGGCTTAAATTTTAAGTTGGCTGCACGCATTTTAAGGAAAACAGCACGCAGAAGATCCAAATGCTCATCGAACGTACGACTGAAAATGATAACATCGTCTAAGTATATCAGGCACGAGTCCCACTGGAGGCCCGCTAAAAGCAGCTCCATCAATCGCTGGAACGTGGCTGGCGTGGAGTGGAGCCCCATAGGGAGCCGGTTAAATTCGAACAACCCTTGCGGCTTGAGTCTCAAAGCCTCGTCAAGTGGCAGCTGCCAAAACCCCGATAAAAGGTCAAGGGTGGAAAAAACCGCGCCCCCGCTAAGGCGTCCAGCGAATCGTCCATACTAGGCAAGGGGTATGCATCCGCAACGGAAACCTCGTTAAGCTTGCGAAAATCAACACATAAACGCAAGTTGCCGTTGTGTTTCTTAACAAGCACAATCGGAGCTCCCCATGGGTTGGTGGATGGTGAGATGATGTCCGCAGCCAACATCTTATCAACCGCCAGCCGAACATGTTCCTTCTTGGCTGGGCTCAATCGGTAAGGATTCTGGCGGATTGGGGCGGCATCGCCCGTATCAATATGGTGGCTCAAGAGAGATGTGCGGTCAATTTTGAATTTACTCTTACTGAAAATGTCGGAAAAATCGTGCAAAAGCGCTCTCAACTTCCCCATTTGGCCCACAGACAAATTGCCACACTCCGCACATAGTTTATCAAGCCAACCCTCATCAGCGTCGCGGGGCCAGGGTGTTCGAACGCCAGCACCGACACTCCCGACAATGTCCCTCTCAGGTTGCGCCGGCAACGCATGAGCCAGCACGGTACCCTCCTGAATAACCGTCATGTCCAAGCCGGCGTTAAGGACCTGAATGAAAGGTTCCTGGTCTCGGGATACCAATGTCTGAGCCGCCACTGGATTTATTAGAGGGTCCCAACACAATGCCGTCCCTCGTAGCATCCAAATTAAGCGGTTTTCGCAACCGGAGGGGTACTAACATTTGCGCGTCGGGCGAAATCCGCACCGTTCGGCACGCAAGGGCCTGCACCGTGGCATTAGCGGTACTCATACGGGTGGGGGAAGGCAAAAATGCCATACGACGTCCCGATGGTAGTTGCAAACATCCCTGATCAACACAAATCTTCAGGGGCATCTTGGCTAGGAAATCGGTACCGAGAAAACAAGGTACATCTAGGGCCGTGGAGATCAGAACATGACCTGTCAGTTTAACATCAGTGATACGCAATTCGGCCGAAATGCGACCGATAATGCCCAGCGAGTCGCCGTTGGCGGTGAAACATGGAGCATCTACAGGTTCCAAAACCCGACACCGAGGGGGCAAAATATTGTATATAAGTTCCGAAATGATGGTCGAGGACGCGCCGGTGTCCATGAGCATCCGAATCTCTACCCCCTCAATAAATCCGAGCACGGCCGATGACTCTGCGGCTGCAGCTACTACCCGATGGGCCAGCTCCGACCACTGATCCGGTCGAACGCGCACCGACTCCCCCCGTACCTGCGCACGACCTGACGCGAATCGGACCCCCCCCCCCCCCCCCGATGAATGAGGGGAACCTAGGGGCCGATTGTAGGGTATGCCACGACTTGCCTTGGGAAGCAGGAAGTCGTAGGACGGCGGAAGACCAGGGAGGCTCCGTCGAGGAACACGGCAGCCCCCACCCCAATGTGCAGATATTAATATTACAGAGCGCTTAGATAGTATTATTGTAGCGCGGCCGGGGGAGCGGCCCAGCCTCCAGCCTGCCAAGGTGCCACCTCGGGCCGGCTGGGCAATCTTGGCGAGGCCGCAGGCTCTGCACGGGACTAGGCCTCACCACGGCAATGTTAAGTAGTAATTTCTTCCTTCGTTCACTACACTCACGTACATAGAACACTTATTAGAAAAATAAGTTTGCAAATATTTAAATACCCATGTTTATGTGTAGACAACTAATATTTCAAAATTAAGTTGCTAAATATTTACGTATGTTTTTATAAAGCTGCGCCAGTGTTCTGGCAGTCTGTGATGTGGCCTGCTACCTGCTTATTAATTCACGTCAGTGCACTGGCAGTCTATTATCTACACTGTTAATATTGCTTTTGGGCATGATGAGTGTATGCCAGTCTATAATCTGTTGCCTGCTTCTTTACCTCACTCAGTGTACTGCCAGCCTTCCATGTAGACTGTATCCTGCTTTTTAAGCTGCTGACCGTATTGCCAGCTTATTATGTGGACTGTAGCAATGCTTACGTAATTGAGTCAGCGTACTGGCAGTCTATAATACAGACTGTAGCCTGCTTCTTAACTTACATGTGCCTACTGTTGCTCTATCATGTAGACTTATTCGAGTTTTTTTCTTCAATGCATTTCTATTGTTTCGATTGCTCACGTCACGCTATTTACTGATATGTAGTACTGCGATGCTGATTATTATGTTATACTGCTAAATATGTTGCACTTTCTTAGCTACAGCCGATTACATTTCGTCTATCATTTTGTTACATTGGTGGGAACATCAACCATTTAAAATTTGGCCTACCGCACCTTTTATTGCCACCCAAGCAGAGAGCACGGTTCAATGCCCCAACTTTTGTTGAGGTTGCTGTTCTTACGGTGGGTGGGGAACATGGTAAGAGAGACATTGTGCCTCGATACC